AATTAACGAGCAAAACATTAATATTTTCTAAATAAAGTCAAACTGTACTTTCCTAAAGCCTTTGCTAGCAAGTAGATGCGTAAATCTTTTTCATCGTCATTACTTACCTACTTGTATCAATAAACATTCTGCTTAAAATTGATATTTACAAGCACTAATATCTACATAAATGGATTATTTGATAAGATTTTATTAAAATTGTTATTTATCTATGATTTGACTGAGGAATTTATGACACATTTTCTCTTCACCCCATATAACACAAAATCTAGTTGTGAAAAGAGCAGAAATTCTCTATTTATCATCTTTGATGTTAGTATATTGATGTGCATCATTAACCATAAAAAATTAAAATGTTTGGAATATTCCACTTGAGTATTACTGCTGCCACCGTCTGTATTAGAGGGGGAAAAATGGTAGGAGTGGCTAATGATTGGGTAAGGGTGGCCATGGCCACCCCTGGCCCCCCATCTAGCTCCGCCCCTGTCTAAGATGGCTTCATCAGACCTCCCTGCTTACCGGAGTGATGCAGTTGCTGTCAAACCTCTCCTTGATCTCCTCCGGGGGAAGGTAGCCTCCTGCAGAGGAAGCAGACCAGTGAGTGACGGACCGCTCCTCTGCTTCACGTCCAAAACAGGCGGCCGGTCCGTTCTGCTGCTGGTTTCTTTCATTATTTTTATTTCATGTTTGTCTTTGAAGTTCAGCAGCAGCGGTCGGTCGGTCGGTTCTGAAGACGGTTCCAATGTTCCAGCAACAAACCGAAACCTACGGAGGGATCCGTCCCATAAACCTCACCTCTCTGGATGACCTCCTCCCTCATACGGTTCTTCTCCTCCGTAAGCTCCACCCCTTCTTTGGAGGCTCGGAAACGCCGGGAGCGCTGCTGGTTCATCTTGGCCCGCGGAGCCTGAGGAAAGTCCAGGAGAAGGTCCATCAAGCCTGGTTCTGAAGCAGGACAGCTGAAACTAACTGGGACTCACCACTCCATCGATGGCCATGTAGAGAACCCTCCTGGGACGCACGATGTTAAACAGGCGATCGATGTACTCAAAGATGGCCACCATCATTTCGTCCTCATTCTTGGGCGCAGGTCTGCAAACAAACGGTTCTGCAATGTTTAGCCTGAGGTCCAAAGTGTCTATTTAAATTCCCTCAACTTAAACCAGGCTTCTCTGGGAGCTGGATCCCTGCCTTCATCATTATTGTGAGACCAAGAGATAAAGGTGTGCCCCTACTTGTCTTCAGGATGCGTACACGGGTGGATGATTCCATTCATGTCCAAATACAGGTTATCAAACTCCACCTCGTTGGGGTTGGGCTTGGTCGTATCCACCGGGACACGGACACCATTACACTCTCTGCCCTGTGGGGAAAAAAATAAACAAATGGTTTTTAGAAGCAATAAGTGGAATTCCCTCCAAGCACAAACCGATTGAAGTGGTTCTCTTTCCAGGTTTAATCAAAGTTGCTCTTGGTTTTTTCCAAATCCATCATGAAAACGAAATAATGTTGACAAGCAAACATTAATGTGACACATAACTTGCAGCGAATATAAAATAATAGTCACAACATGCACAAATAAAATACCTCGTTGGCGACATACTGCAAGAAAAAAGGGAATTATCCAAAGTCTTTATTAAACGTAAACGTCTTTATCCTTGAGCTAGCAAAACATCCTCCATAACCACCTGAATGCGTCTTCCGCCCGCGGTCAGACAAGACCTTAACTTCAAAATAAAGGCACATTCCTATGTTCTGGATCATTTAATAGAAGACAAATACAACTTTAATTAATTCTAATCAGACAATTACCTTAGAAAAAGGAAATTATAGAATGATTTACAATAAGCATAAATGCAACAATTACATCTAGACTGGTTCAATCATCTGCTCTGAAATCACAATCGAACCAGGCAGGAGTGTGGATGATGGAGTGATTAATGGTCTTTAGCAGCTGATCTGTGTTTACTGGGATCACAGGAGACAGACCAGAGGAAGGAAGCGGCTCCTTTTTCCAAACAGTCTGCAGAGCCGACTTGAAGGAACGAGTCTTAATTAATCAGACCACTTTAGGGGTGAAAGTCAGTTTGAAATAACTGGGAGAATAAGAAAAAATATAGAACATCTCCTTAAAACGGACCTAAACCTTAAACTAGGGCTGCAACTAACGATTAATTTAAAAATCGATGAATCGGCCGATTATTTTTTCTATTAATCGGACAAAAAATGTTA